TCAGTGATTTTTATGGTGTTTTTGAGCAACATTTTATGAATTTCTTTGAGTTTTTCCAATTTATTAATTTCTGAACCTTCTGTACATCACAAAAAAATTGTACATTCATGATCAGAAACACCTTAAAAATGGCCTTAAAGTTCAATCTTGAACCCCCCTATTGGAATTGGAATTTCTTTTTGCAATGTTAATGTTTATACAAGGTTCTTCAATATCTTCAAAGGCCTTGATCATGAAAGAATCCATTACTGTTTCAAATTATGTTTCACATATTACACTGATCTTTTTGAGGCCATCTTTATCATCATTCTGCTAATTGATGTGCCTTTTATCACCAGGAAATCTCTCAAGTATCCTAATTAATCCAATCCTGTTCTCCCTTTCATTTAAAACCCCCCTCTGACCCCAAAAATGGGGGCTATGCCCTCGTAAATAGATAAAACAAAACAGATACTATGTAACCTTGTTGGTACAGATCCATTGACAGGATTATTTCCTGTTGTTGCACTGTTTATTTGATGCTTCACAATTCAATGGGATCAAATAAACACATATACAGCATGCCTTGGACACCTCAGATGATTTAGTCTGTCTAATGTAAATATGTCCATTCTTTTGTGAGTGAGCATCTGATTTTGGATTTCTCTTTGGTATCAGTTTGAAAGGCTGCCTGCCCATCTCCGACAATTTGACCCAGGAGGCGCGATGAGCCAGCTTACATAATCCAAATAGCCATCTCCACCTTTTCAACCCCTTTTCTTTGAAGTGGCGGTGCTGTTGACCAGACGCGTCGGATTCCACCAACAACAAGATCATCAACATCATCCTCCAACGATTCAGATATCAACTCATCAAACTCCAGCCAATCGGACTACCACCGTATCATCCCTCGATCAGAACACTCCACCAGTCTTCAGCGCCGTCAATTAGAGTACACCATCACTTTTCATCTCGGGCTCTTAACAAGATGTCCTCAGATGAAGTGAGTCTCTCTTGTTGGAATTTCTCTATCTAAAACTGACTGTGAGCTCATATGTAGAGCGAGGATTTCAATGTGGCAAACGATGATAACTCGGGGTCAGACTTTGGCGAAATCTCTTTACCCAAATCCAAAGCAAAACCCAAGGTCAGTTAGACTCACCCTTGGAATCCCAAACAGTTCATTTTCTCAGATGCTAATTTTCTAGGTTTTTTTGCTTGAAAATGTAGGCTGCCGCTAAGCCCAAGCCAACTTCCAAGACTACCAAAGCTGCCCCTAAACCAAAGCCAACCGCTGCGAAAAGCAAATCCAAACCCTTAACCGATCGAGATGAAAACCAGGCAGATTCTGATAATAATTCCGAAGCTGGAGATGTCTTGACCGAACTTCCTACCTCAAAGCCCCCTACTACCACTAACGGCCCGGCTGGATCTAAAAAAAAGACAGCCAGTGAGACCTACCAGAAAGTGAGGACCATCATCAAGCAAGCCAGCTTAGAATCAGATGAACAACATACTTAATCTTGTTTTTCGTTGGATTTGATCTATCTAGTTGTCTCAATTGGAACATGTTCTCAAGAGACCTGATACGTATATAGGAAGTGTCGAAGCTATTCGACAATTCATGTGGATTTTCGATAAAGAGAAGAAAACGATGGTCAACAAGGAGATTTCATTTGTCCCTGGACTCTACAAAATTGTCGACGAAATCCTTGTCAATGCGGCTGACAATAAGGTACGCCCTTCCAAACGCTCAACAATAATTTTGCCTCCTCATGATCTGGAGATCAATATCTCTGACCCTCAAATCCATTTGCCTGCAACAGCAACGTGACGATAGTATGGATACCCTCAAAGTTACTATCGACTCTGAGAAAAACATCATCTCGGTTATGAACAACGGAAAGGGGATTCCCATCGAGGTAAAACATTTGAGATTTCTCGGACCCACTACAGCCTTGGACCTAACTAAATTTGATCGACTTTGAAAAATTCAGATCCACGAGACTGAGCAGATTTATATACCCGAGCTCATTTTTGGACATCTTCTGGCCGGAAGTAACTTTGATGATGAAGAGAAAAAGACGACGGGTGGTAGGAATGGTTATGGAGCGAGTGAGTTACCTTGCGATTTTGAAGACTAACATCGGAGGCTCATGTCGTCAATTGTGTTGTGTAGAACTTGCGAACATTTATTCAACCGAATTCATTGTTGAGGCTGCCGACAAACAAACAGCCAAAAAGTACAAGCAAATCTTCAAAAAGTAAGCAGTTCGCATCATCTCCTTTCTACTGCACCCCGATTGGTCGACCGCTCAAATTCGTGCTACATCTTGATTACAGCAATATGTCGGTTAAAGAGAAGCCGAAAATCACCGACAATAAGAAAGGGGAAGAATATACTAAAATTTCGTTCAAACCTGATCTAGTCAAATTTAATCTACCGGCTGAGAACGGGCTTGCAGGAGATATGGAAGCCTTGATAAGTAAACGTGTTTATGATATGGCCGGAACTCTGAGGAATGTGAAAGTGTGGCTGAATGACGAGAGAATTAAGCTCACGGGATTCAAGAAATATGTGGAAATGTATACGAGCGGAGTTAATGAAGTAGGCTCTATTGTTACGCTTGATCTTCTGGTCTTTGAAAATGACCGTCTAATTTGTTTCTTTTTTTTCAGGCCATCAAAGGGTCCGCAGCCAAAGCTCTTGAGGCTCCCGGATCCCCTGGTAATGGTGCGACGAAAACACCGATCATATATGAAGAATGTGGCAAGCGATGGGAAATTGCGTTTGCACCTTCAGATGGACAATTCCAACAGGTGTCCTTCTGTAACTCGATCGCGACCACAAAAGGCGGTACTCATGTGGAACACATCGTCAAACAATTGGTCGAAAAAATCATCGAATCCGTTAACAAGAAGAAAGCTAAACTGACCCTCAAACCCTATCAAGTCAGAAACCACCTCTGGGTCTTCGTCAACTGTTTAATCGAAAATCCGACGTTTGATAGTCAGACCAAAGAGAATATGACCTTGGGAATGAGCAAATTTGGGAGCAAGTGTGTGATGACCGAAGAGTTTATGAAAAAAGGTCAGTCAATCTGACATATTGAACCCTTATTTATCTTCGCTAATATGTGAATCGCCGACGAATGTCAACCACCAAAAAAAGTGATGAAGTCGGGAGTAATCGACAGTGTAATGGATTTTGCAAAGTTTAAAGAAGAAGCTGCTCTGAAGAAAACCGATGGATCAAAGCGATCTCGAATCACCGGTATTGTCAAACTAGAAGATGCCAACAATGCGGGGACTAGGAAGGCGGCAGATTGTACGTTAATCTTGACGGAGGGAGACTCTGCCAAATCTTTAGCTGTTGCTGGTCTCTCCGTCATTGGACGCGATAACTACGGCGTCTTTCCGCTCCGCGGTAAACTGCTCAACGTCCGTGAGGCTAGTGGTGCTCAGCTTCTGAACAATGCTGAAATTCAACATATCAAACAAATCATGGGCCTTCAACAAGGCAAGAAATACGCTAGTAGGGACTCGCTTCGATACGGCAGCTTGATGATCATGACCGATCAGGCAAGTCCTCCCCATCACGACCACGCACCTTCCCTTCAATAATGACTTGTATTGACCGGTTTACCTTTTCTTCCCTCTAGGATCACGATGGCTCTCACATTAAAGGCTTAATCATCAACTTTCTCGACTATTTCTTCCCTTCTCTTTTGGAAATTCCTGGTTTCTTAGTCGAATTTATCACACCAATCGTGAAGGTTACCAGAAAGAAAGAGGAACTTTCTTTCTTCACTATGCCAGAGTTTGAGAAATGGAAAGAAGAGAACGACGACGGACGTGGCTGGACTAGCAAGTACTACAAAGTTGAGTCATTCTTTTCTAAACAAAACAAATAAAATTTGCGATATAAAGTTTGGCGATCAATCGCTCAAAGAAAATCGGGGTTATTTCCTTATCGTCTTTTTCAGGGATTGGGTACAAGTGATGCAAAAGACGCCAAGAAATACTTCAGTCGGATGTCCTCTCATAGAATCAAGTTCGCCCCTACTCAAGAGAATGATCGTCACTTGATCGATATGGCATTCAACAAGAAAAAGGCTGATGATCGGAAGGAGTGGCTCAGAGGCTTCGAGGTAGGCAATTTCAAAAGTAACAATTCATTCGATGATATAGCGCAGCGCTTTTTACTAATATGAAATTTTTTCTCTCAGCCTGGTACTCATCTCGATCAAAATGTTTCGCAAATTACTTACACGGAGTTTATCAACAAAGAGCTCATCTTGTTTTCGATGGCAGATAACATCCGTTCGATTCCATCAATGGTAGATGGATTCAAGCCGGGACAGAGGAAAGTATTGTTTGCATGCTTCAAGCGAAAACTGAAGGCTGAAATCAAGGTCGCGCAGTTGGGAGGTTACTGTTCCGAACATTCGGCATACCACCATGGAGAAGCAAGTTTAACCCAAACGATCGTAGGTCTTGCTCAAAACTTTGTCGGAAGTAACAACATCAACGTCCTTTCGCCGAATGGACAATTCGGTACACGTGCCTCAGGTGGTAAAGATGCGGCCTCTGCAAGGTATATTTTTACTAACGTTGAGAAAATCACTCGAGTCATCTTCCCGCCGGCGGATGATAATGTGCTCAACTACTTGACCGACGATGGCACCCAAATCGAGCCCGAATGGTACATCCCTATCCTGCCCATGGTCCTTGTCAACGGCTCCAGCGGGATCGGAACCGGCTGGAGTTCGGATATCCCGAACTATAATCCGGTTGATATCGTCAATAACTTGCGTCGTCGCTTGGCCAACGAACCTATGGAACCCATGCATCCTTGGTTCAGGGGGTTCACTGGTCAAATCACCTCAGAAGCTCCCGGTAAATATAAGGTCTTGGGTGAATGGGATCAGCCTGATGAGGATACTATCGAAATCACGGAGCTGCCCGTTCGCGTTTGGAATCAATCTTACAAAGAACAAATCGAAGCTTGGATCAATTCGACCGACAAAATCCCTGCATTGGTCAAGGTTTGTATTTTGTTTTTTGGATGTGCACCGCGCTTCATACCACTTAATGTTTTTTTCTTTCTTTCTTTTTATTTAGGATTATCGGGAATACCATACCGAGACGACGGTACACTTCATCATCTCCTTGACCGAAAGAGGCAAAGATGCTATCAAGAAAGAAGGCATCGAGAAAGTGTTCAAGTTATCTGCCAATCTCTCGATCACTAATATGGTCTGCTTTGATCCATCTGGGAAAATCAAGAAATATTCGACCCCAGAGCAAATCTTGGATGACTTCTATGATGTTCGATTGGCCTATTACCAAAAGCGAAAAGTAAGTTCTGTTGTTATATCACAAGGAAAGCTGGCATCAAGTCTGATGTTCGCTCCCTCAATCTAGGAATATCTCGTGAACGATCTGACGTTGATGTACGAACGATTATCGAATCAAGCGAGATTTGTACTGATGATCATCGAGAAGAAGCTCGTCGTTAGCAACCGAAAGAAAGCTGAAATTGTAGCTGAACTAAGAAAGCTAGAGTTCCGGCCATTCCCCGTCAAGGCCAAACCGAAGACGGCTGGTGATCCTGATCAAGCAGACGAAGAGGGTGTTGAGGAAGAGGAAGTCGCTGACCTCAAGGCGGCAGGTACCGCTGGTGATTTTGATTACCTCTTGGGAATGGGTTCGTAGCACCTTTCATCGGCTCTCTCTGTAACCTTTTTCTTGATTGCTCATTGTTCCATCTGCCACAAAAAAAAAAAGCCATCTCTCGTCTGACGGCCGAACAAGTCGCTAAGCTCTTGGCGGAACGAGACGACAAGGAGAAGGAGCTTCAGATCTTACTCGAGAAAACTGCGGAAGACTTATGGCATGCCGATCTTGATCTCTTTGAACAAGAGTGGAGGGTAAGTCGGAGAATAATTTCATTTTTGATTAAATCATCGTAGGCTGAAGGTTGACTCTGTTATTAACCTATTCCCCAGCGCATCATGACTTCCGATAATGACTCCCGTCGAGCAAGCATCAAGAAGGTTAAACCTCTTGGATTCAAACCCTCCAATGCTGCCAAGGGCAAAGGGAAAAAACCAGCGGTACGCTTTTTGCAATTATCTTCGAAGGATATGTAGACGTTGTAACTCGGCAGTATCTGATCACTGATGAGTTATTTGCGCGATACGAATGTATACTTCGGTTAGGCTAAGGTTGAACTCAATAGTGACGGAGAAGAGGATTTCAAGCCAAATATAGATAAAAAACCGGCCAAACCGAAAGCGGGAACTCAATCAAAGCTGGACTTCAAGCCAGTCACCGGAGCTGCAGCCAAGCCCGAGTCGACTGAAGAATCTAAACCGGGAAAGCCAAGTGGCTCTCTTCAAGCATCAACAACCACCAAAAAAACTAAGCGGGATGCGTCAGAGTTGGACGATGATCAGAAGCAAACCAGTAAGGCTCCTGCAAAGAAGAAGAAAGCAGTACGTTTTATTTTTTTGTTTATTTGAAGCCTTTTCATACACTAAGACAGACCAATCTGCTTGGTACTGTAGGCATCTGTTAAATCAGATGACTATAGCGAAGATGACTTCGAAATTTCGGTCAAGTCCAAGCCGACGACCAAGCCCGTTAAGTCCAGTGGGAGCACCAGTCAGGTGAGCAAGGAAGACGAGGCAGAGAGCAAGGCGAAGAAGAAGCCGGCCCCGAAGACGACGGCGACGGCGACCAAGAAGCTCACGAAGCCAGCATCATCTAGCTCGAAGGCCACCAAGGCCAAGCCAGCCAGTAATCCAAGGAAACGCGCCAAAATGATCTCGGATGATGATGATGACGATAGTGGTGATTCAGACATCAGGAAACTGGCCTTGGCCAATGATGACGATGATGATTCCCAAGAGGAGGCGGAAGAAGAAGACGATGAGGATGATGATGATGACTCGGTGGTGGTCGCTAAGCCGTCAAAGAAGACCGTCCCGGCGCCCAAGAAAAGAGTCGTCTCTGGCTCCTCAACCGTCGCTTCTAAGAAACCCTCTAGTAGTAGTACTAAGCCTGCTCCAAAGAAGAAGGATGATGATGATGATGAGGAGGAGGAGGAGGAGGTTGCCCCCATTCGGCGGCCTGCTAGGTAAGCTTTCTTTTCAGGTTTTTTTTTTCTTGTGTCAATCTGAGTCGGTTGAAGTCGTTGCTGATTTCTCATTATTCCCCCATCAAAATCCGCTTTTCGTCCGATCATCTACGTTCTCACAGGGCCACGAAGACGCGGCCGAAGAGCTATAAGTTGAAAGCCATCAGCTCTGATGAGGATGACGATAACGATAGTGGGAGTCAGTTCAAAGGAGACGACGACGACGATGAATAAATCATTCAGTTCATTGCATCGGGCTCTTTTCTCTCTTCTTCTGGATTTTCTTTCTTTCATTTTTTAGAGGCTTATTGGGATCGATATCTTTGTTCGTGCTTACATATTATTAATGTCACTCTCCCCCATCCCCGCTTACATACCTTACCTCATATATGTACAAGATTCATTCATGTTTGGATTGATCAATGGATGGATTGGAGAAAAACAAAAACATGCTTATATCTCTGGCCTTGCTTCCTAGGAAAAAAAACCACATTTACAATCCTGTAATATCATCCTTACATGTATACATGTCAAGACTTTCGAGTAAAAAAAAGAGGCAGTTGGATCCTGCTTGACCTTGTGTAGTTTGTCAAAACTGCTTCCTCTCTAGAATTTATACTAGAGTCTCTGTACCATGGGAATGATTTTTTTTTTTAATTTTTTTCTGTCTTCTATATACCCCCCCCCCCCAAAAAAAAAAAAAAAAAAAAATGAAAAACAAGTGGAAAGATCT